ACTACAACTAAAAAAATAAAAGTTTATATTTTCAACAGGCCAAAATCCTGACTCGTGTCAGTAGGTGAGATAACCACACTCTGAATGTTTCAGCTCTTTTTTACGTTACACGGACTGATGCTCTTGGTTTAGTGTTCATATAAGAGATTTGGTTGAAATTTTCATATACAAAATGGTCATATACATTCAAAAGCGAATATCTCAATAAAACTAACTGGCTTAGTTATGCAATCTTCAGCAAGGTTGTTACTCATTGTTTGAACTACAAGTTTTAAAAATCTGAATCAAATTGAGAATAAGCAAACTTTTTTATGATCGATAGAGTGTAGGAGAGTAATTTTTCCATGTATTTTAACCAAATTCCCGATACAAAAATTAAACTAAAAGCGCCAGCTAATCTTAAAACCAATTGTGCTGAAACTTTCCGATAATGGTTTTCTCATCCAAAGGCACAAATCTAGAGGTTGGCCCGTGGAAAATTAGAACTTTTATTTTTGTGGGCCAGTCTAATGCCTTACCTTTACTCTTTAGTATGTAATCTATGTAATCCTAAAGCACGGCAAAATTTTTTTACAAATACATTCATGAGAGAAATTATCCACCATAATCATCATGATCTGCACGGACTATTGTGAAATTTGGCTGACAAACATAATATCACGTCCCATTAGGGAACTTCTTAGATGTCAAGAGACATTTATTTGATTTCAGAGAACTTTATAGAAGTTTGTAGAAGCTCGTAAAAGTTCAGGGACCATCATCGATTTTCAGGATACTTCGTAGAATGTTAAACAACTTCGTGGACGATGATTACGGAACATCGCATGAATTATTTGAAATTCGTTCAAGTTCAGCAAGCTGGGCAAACAGTTAGTTGTACCTATCGAAAAATTAAAAAAAAATTAAGCTATGGAAAAATCTTTAAAGTACTGGGAACTTCGAAGAAGTTGACGAAAAATCCCAGGATTTCGTAGAATATTCTACATATTCAGGGAACTTTATAAAGGCTTTGAGTACATGGAACTGAGTTTAAGTTCAAGAAACTTCTTGAAAGTACACGAATCTTCGTATAACTGATATTCACGGATTTGTGATGATATCTCAGGATAGTATTCAAGACTTTCCAACTTAATCAAGTAATGTTCTGAAGATATGCAAGTGTTTTAGACATCCTTCCCAGACGGAAGTTTGATTAAAGAGTATTTAAAGGATATACAGCTGGTCGGAGATTTAAAGACCTCTGGATATTTTTCAAGACTTCAGGTCGATCAATTATTATTCTTAAGATTTTTAACTGTTCGTAAAATTCAAATAACGTTTCTAGATAGTCTCTCAAGATTACTGGTTGGTCAGATATTAGTAAATTCAGATTGATCAGAAAATCTGAAGATCTTAAACTGGTAAAACATTCAATTGGCTCTCTCAAGATGGCAGATCGGTTAGGCAGTACTTAAAAGATATCCAGCTGATCAAATATTTCAATAAAGTCATCTGGATATGTTTCAAGGCTTCAGGTTGATCAAGTATTATTGTGAAGGTATTCTCCCAAAACTGAACGTTGATCAGGAAGTATTGAAAAGATCTCCAACTAATCGAATATTTCCGTAAAGTCCTGTGAATATTCAATTGGATCAAGTTTTATTCTGAAATATCGGATTTTGGCTACATTATTCATATTCAACATATTCAGGAAGAAGCTTAAAATATGAAATCAAAACTTCATTTATTTAACAAAAATCATCACATGCCAGCTAACAATTAAAAAAAAAATCCATCGGAAGTCTGCTTCAGCTTCCGCATGTCTTGAAACAACTTCACGTACCATGAAATGTCTTCAAAATGTCTGCATGAAAAAAATACCTTCACAGGATTTTAAATGTCTTTAAAATGAAGATATGTCGTTAAATCTGGTGTCCCTAGTATTGAAAAAACCTCCTTTTTTAATCATTCTTCTAAAGAGATGAACATACATTTCAGAACATCGTTAAAATAAATTAGATACATACGAATATTAAAACAATTTACTATCTTTATTGACTTCCCGGGATCCCGGGATTTCCCGGGATATCAAATAAATATTTCCTGAATCCCGGGATGGTGGAAACCACCGGGAAATGGAAGCTCTACACCCATCGTCTATTCCGCAAAAAATCGGACAAAAGTGGGCTGGGTACGTCGTAAGAATGTCAGATGATAACCCGGTGAAAATGGTTCTCAATCTCAATAACGAACCGATTGAAACAAGACGAAGAGGCTCGCAACGGGCAAGCCGGATCGAACAGGTGGGAGGCGACTTGCAGCTATGGATTGAGTGGACTTCTTCGTACTGCACAGGACACCCCGTCCTTAGCCTGTAGTAGCATCAACACTAGTATGTCGATATGATATTTTTTGTTAAATGTGGCGCTATTATATGTACAAATGATTAATTGTTTTTCATCGATGAGTTAATAAAATCACTTCCACCGAATAAATGAAATCCAATCGGGACGGATTGGCGTTGGCGACTATCATTACTCCAACGGGTTTTCTCATTTACGTGTGTGTGATTAAAAAAACTTTCCTCCTTCACTTTCTCATGTTAAAACCGCAAACAAAATCAACACACTCGTCAACGCCAACAACAAAAGACAAAAGCCGATTTTCCGAGAAAAAAAAAATACCCAACACATTCACACTCAATTACTCCGTCCATTAGTTACGCAACATGGAAAAGAAACGAATATCACGTCATCAAGACAAGGAAGAATAGTCAATTCACATACCAAACCTTTTGTCCCGCTTTGGTCTGGACGTCATCAATGGCAGTTTCAGGAGAGAGGATCACCATCGTTTATTGAATGAGTGTTAGTGCTGGCTGATTTATGAGCTGGGCGGAAAATTTCCCTACGTTGGCCGCTCTTTCTCTCGGAAACTTGCGCCCGTATTAGTGACGGAGCGTCTACCAGGAAAATTTATGCTCAGGGGAGTATCTTTCTGTTTCATTTAGGTATGACGTCATATGGTAGTATTCTCCAACCACCTGCTATAACGATACATCAAGTGCTGAAGGCCACGCGCCATAAAGTGATGAATGAATGGGCGAATATTTTCCGAGCTCGTTCTGGGAAAGGACAATCGATTCGTGTTGGTTGAAGAGATGGTTAAATAATGCCTAATGTCATCATGAATGTTATCGTTTCTATTTGCAAACAAGCATGATATTCATAAATTCTGTTATCTTAACAATAGTAAACAATGTGTCAACTGGTTCAACCAGTGTAGGGTGCCCCACCCCAACGTACAAGGTAAAGAAAAACCACAAGAACAATCTGAACTTCCACCACACCCACGCGGCTTATGGGCTAACAGATTCACAAGTTGTTCGATGTAGGTGGATTTGAGCCTTCAATAGCATTATTCTCAATAGATGCCTGTAGTAAAATGATCTGTTCCGGTAGCCTCAGCGGAAGGAAGGATCGTGACGCAAGGAGTTGTTTACGCGTTTGTACTACACAACCGTGGTTTTTTCCCCCTGCAGGATATGTTTACCCACACTTTTTTTTTGTTCGATGTAGCGTTGAAAATTGTCGGAACTGATTGACGTTATTCAATCGGCATCTAATTGGCGTCAAACAGCTTAAATATTAAAGCTTAAATGTTATAGCTTAAAGATTCGCTTAGAGGGTGTCCCACATCAAATTGCATCACGGAAAACCCGCTGAAATGAAATGATGAAATGAAATGCTATTACATCACTATGAAATAGTGATGTAATAGCAAAAAGCAGATACAATATTACATCAATGGATGTAATTTTGTTCGCAAAATCGATGTACATCGTACAATGTGATATTACACAACCGATGGATTGACCTGGTTGCAGCAGTTTCGATGTAATATTCAACAACTTTTTTTGCTATGTAGTTGAGCGATCCTTTTCAAACTTTCAGACACTAAAATAACCCATTAGTAAGAATTTGGAATATTTATTTCATTCATTTCACTCATTAGGTTCTGTACAACACCTGGCTGCAGCTTCTTCTGTATGGAAACTCACTTTTTCATCATGTCTTTCTTAGGTTTGACCTCCTTGGGATGCTTCCGTAGTGCCTGCTAGTGCCTGCAACTTTCATCTACTCTGGGACGCAACGGTGTTCGCCCTATGGAAGCCACCGAACCTCTCACCACAGTCGTGCCTTTCCTGCCATCGCCCTGTGTGTGAGTTTGGAAACGTGGTCTTCCAAACTAATACCGCAGGCAAGTACGATTCGGGGACTACAATCTTCCTCATCTGCAATGGTGCTTCGATGAGGACGTTAATGGGTTTAAACCTTCGAACGCTTCCAGTGAACAAGAACTCAATCTCACCGAATCCATCTCTGCGTGCGGGCTGGTTCAAGTGAATTCTTATACGAACCCGAACGGTAGACTACTAGATCTAGCATTCACGAATTCTCCAGATGTCATTGAAGAACTGCGGCCACCACTTCCACTCTTATCCACCGACGCCCATCACCCACCGTTTATTTTACTAGTGGATGTGCACAGCGTCATCATAAACCACCAAATCGACGCGGAGTCGGATGCAATTGACCCAGATTTCAGGCAATGCAACTTTGATTCACTTAATGCCGCGTTTTCGTCGACCGACTGGCAGCTTCTGTTCAACTTCTCCTGTACCTCACCCGGATTGTTTCCAACACGTGCCATCTTATGGTATCCACCTTCCAATCTTCAGTTTTTCTTGTGACGAAGTGTTAAGTACTTTGGCTAAATTAGATGCTTCGAAAGAAGCGGGAGTCGATGGTCTGCCATCGATATTAGTGAAGAACTGCGCTGCATCTCTGGTTAAACCATTGACGTTACTGTTTAACGGTTCGTTAGAACAAAAAACGTTCCCAAGTTTATGGAAAACCGCGTCAATGATTCCTGTACACAAATCTGGCAGTTTAAACAATGTGGTAAACTATCGAGGGCTTCAATTCTCTGCTGTCTGGGAAACGTTCTCGAATCACTAGTGCATAAGGTCGTGCTGAATGCAGCGAAACCGATTATCTCTGAGTATCAGCACGGATTCATACCACACCGGTCTACTACAACCAACTTACTGTGCTATACCAACGTACTGTTCCGTGAGATAGAACGTCGCAACCAGGTGGACTCTATTTACATCGACTTTTCGAAAGCGTTCGACACCGTCCCGCATGCCTATGCCACAGAAAAACTGAAACACATGGGATTTCCGGATTGGGTTGCGGACTGGATAAGGTCATATCTAACGGGTTGAAAGGCATTTGTGCAAGTGAACTCGTCTCGTTCCAATACGTTCGACATACCATCTGGCGTACCACAGGGTAGCGTGTTAGGACCTTTGCTCTTTGTCCTCTTTATTAACGACCTGTGCCTTCGAATATCCTCTGGAAAGCTCCTTTATGCTGATGACCTCAAAATCTTCAGAATTATCGCGTCTGTACTCGATTGTATTGTACTGCAGGCTGACATCGACGTAGTGTCAATCTGGTGCAAAGAGAATGGTATGAACGTGAACATCAATAAATGCAAAACGATCACATTTAGTCGCTGTTTGTCAACGCTCACTCACCAATATCGAATTGACACTACTCCGCTAGAACGTGTGCAATTTATTCGCGACTTGGGAGTTATAATTGACTCTAAACTTAGATTCAGCGAACATGTCTCCACCATGACAGCAAAAGCTTTCTTCGTACTCGGGTTTATTCGTCGTAATGCTTCTCAACTAACCGATGTGTACGCATTAAAATCACTCTTTTGTGCTTTAGTGCGCAGCATTCTGGAATACGCTGCCCCGGTTTGGGCACCATATCACACGTCCCAGGTGATCCGCATTGAACGTATACAAAAAATGTTCATACGATTTGCACTCCGGTTAAGATTTATTGAAATTTTGCAAATAAGCCGTATGCCTAACTAGCTTGGTGAAACTCGAAAACTTCCTGACAAATGATTTTCCAAATTCTTCAGGCTTTGGTTGAGCGCAGTGTGCTGAGGATCTGCTAATCTCTTCCTCAGTTTCCTCTGTGACCCTTTCCACAGGTTGATTTGGCCAATTACATTGCTCTTCCTTAAGCCAAGAAGGTCCTTCCCACCATACTTCATTGTTACTAATCTCCTCTGGTAACAATCCTCGTGAGATCAGGTCCGCTGGATTCTCCACTCCTTGAACATGATTCCACATGCAGTTTTCCGTTGCGTTTTGAATTTTAGCCACACGATTGGCCACGAAAGTAGTCCATGTCGAAGGAATTGCTTTCAGCCACTGTATAACACAGGTAGAATCCACCCAGAAGAACGCTTCAACTTCGATTTTCAATGCAATCAGAACCTTTTCCTTCAACTGTGCCGCTAATAGGGCTCCACATAGCTACAACCTTGGAATGGATTGTGATTTTAGTGGGGCGACCTTGGATTTTGATGTAAGTAACGCAACGCAGCAATTCCCTGAAACGTCAGTGCTTCTAACGTATGCACACGCTCCGTATGCCAACTTGGAAGCATCGGAGAAGAAGTGCACCTGAACGGATGTTGCCTTCGGTAGTACGACACAGCGCTTGATCGGTATCTCGTTCAATAGCGGGATTTGCCTGTGAAACTTCATCCATTCTTCACATTCCTTGGGCGCTAGATGTTGATCCCATTCTAGCTTCCTTCATTCTTCATCCATCAAGCACCATAGACGCTGCATGAATATTTTTGCCGTTACTATAACTGCACCTATCAATCCAAGAGGATCGAAGAGAGTTGCGATCATGGATAATAATTTCCGTTTCGACAACTGCTCATTCTCGCTGATCTTTGGGGTTTTGAACTGGAATTTGAAGACGTCGCTTGTTGGCAGCCATATAAGTCCCAATTGCCAGCTGTTTAAGGGTTCGCGTTGCTGAATACGGTGCTGGCCTCGTACCGTAAGTAACCGTACAGAGCTCGTAGGTTTCGGCTCTGCCATTGAAATCCTTCCGCCATAGTATGCATTGAAGTACCACATCCAACCAGTCTACCCAAATTTGATGGAACATCTTTTCCGCATCAGCTACCATCAGAATTTGCTTGATCCGAGATCGCAAAATCATAGCACGTAGGTCATCCTGGATTACTGGCCCTGCCAGCAGCGCATCGTTGAGCGAAACTCCTATAGTGGTCTTACAAGACGCATCAAACACCACTCTGACCTTGGTGGTCGTGCTACTCTCCTTAACTACGGGATGGTGAGGTAGATAGCACCGAATTACATCTCCTTCTGCAGTAGCGTCCACCTTGCGCATGTGTCCTAACTCCAAATATTCCTCCATAAATTGGTCGTACTGTTCCCGCAGCTTTGGTTCCCGAAGCAATCGTCGTTCTATCCCTTGAAGACGGCGGAATGCGATATCCCTTGATTCGCCCATCCTAGCTTGCACGGTTTCGTCCTTCGGAAGTGAGACTGTATATCGACCATCTGTACCACGTCGTACCGTGCGACTATAGTGCTCCTCGCACTTTATCTCCGTTGGTGAATAATTGTTGGGAGACTCGATTTCTTCGCAGGCCCAGAATCGAGTTAATATTTCCTCCAGACTATCTGTAACCGCCATGTTACAGGAGAACCTTGGATTTGGGTGATCAGTTTTCACCAAACCAGATACCACCCAGCCGAATACTGATTCCGTTAGTGTGGGAAATCCGTTTCCCAACTCGATTTCGTTGCCTGTATTGAAGAAGGCAAAGAAATACTGGATTCCGAATACCATATCCACTGCCTTGGAATTGAAGAATGCTGGATCTGCCAATTCCACACCTTCAGGAAATTCCCAACCTGTCGCCTGCACGTCTGTTGTTGGAAGGTTCGCTGTTACCCTCGGTAGGATGAGGAATTCCATATCACGAGAGAATCCGGAAACTCGTGACTTAACCTTCGTCGTGACCTTGTGCTTTACCCGCGTATTGGATTGACCTATACCCAGGACGGATATATCCGAACGCCTTCGTTGGATATTCAAACGCTGACACAATCCTTCAGTCATGAAATTGCACTCTGATCCTGAATCCAACAAGGCCCGTGCAGGAAAACTGATCCCTTGGCTGTAGCAAGCAGTACTGACGAAGAATGACGGTGTGCCATATTGGATGACACTGCTCCCGTAGCCGGGTTTGTATTTTGCTCTGCCGTAGCTGAATTGCTGTTCTCTGCTTGAGTAGGTTTTTGCGCTGCATTTCCCCTTGTCCCATCTGGTCGGAAACATACCATTGTATGATGCTTCGCCTTACAGTTTCGTCAAACAAAGCGAGATGAACATTCGGATGCCTGATGTCCACGTCTGAAGCAGTTGCGACAAAGTGAGTGATATCGCAGCAGCTTATCTCGAGCGGACACCGTTAAACGTTGAAATGACGGACATTGGTATAAGAGATGAACTTCTGAACAAGCCACGCATCGACCACCAGATGCTTGCACCACGTTATGACTTGTTCGTGGAACGGAGAACTTCTTCTTGAAACATGTTGCTGAATCTCCCTTGAGTTCAACAGATTTGGATGGAAGCGAACTCAAAACTCGAATCCGTTTTTGAAGAAATCCCGTTAGATCCTTAATGGAATCTTGATCCTTGGAGGCTGAATATTCTTCCCATCCTCGCTGCGTAACAGGATCTAGTCGAGAACCAAGAATATCCAATAGCAGCAAATCTTTGTAGTCCTGCGGTTGGACAAGCTGATCCAGATTTTGAAGAATACGCTCAAATCCTTCCAACAAGGACTGAAGCTCGGACGCTGACTCCTTACCCAGCGTAGGAAGCTTGAACAACGCTTGGACCTGGTGGCGCTTAAGTAATTTGCTGTCGTTGTATCGTTTCGTTAATGTTTCCCAAGCCACTTGATAATTCGCCTTTGTGATGGAAAGCGGATCAATCAAGGCTTTAGCTTCACCAGTGAGGCTCCCTTTCAGGTAGTGAAACTTCTCGATATCGGGCAGATCGGGTTTCCAGTGAATCAACGAAGTATACAAATCACGGAAGCTCAACCACTCATCTATGTTACCATCAAAGGTCTGTAACTTGATTTGTGGGAGTCGAACGTGCTCTAACGTAGACTGCGTTCCTTCAACGCGAGACTGAGTCAAGGCGTGGACGTCTTCCAGTTCCTTAGACTTCTCCAGTAGTGAAGTTTTTACGGCAAAATAATGTTGAATGAACTCTGACCTCTCCTTAGCACATTTACCGTCGTCATCGGAATAATCTTCGTGTGATTCTAAGTCGACTAAAGAATCGTTGACCTGTTCCCACAATTCTTCTAACTTATCTAACCTAACTGACACAAGGTTCGCGAGGAAGAAATAACCATGTAATAAGCAACCAATTCCCATGCCTCGGCTGGGCATATACTGCTACATTAATTTTACCTGGGAGAATAATTCACGATACTGGTATTTCGATAAAACAGAGTGCCGGCTATTCACGGGATCACAACTGTTGTTCCTTAATGCGTAGAACGTGCTGAGTATGCTTCGGTGGGCCCCTCGAACACACGTTCCACAAAATTAATCGATCAGTATTTACGCATACATCATACAGTGTTCAAAGAGGAATCAAAAGTGCCGCATGTAATATCTGTGTTATCCCAGCATCGGCTGGCCATATACTAATTGGTGCAATAGTGAATTAATTCAAACTAACTTGTGCAACCAAGTCGTCTACTGATGACCAGTGATGAAGTGGGATAGGTTCTGTTGCTGGAGTGATGATCCAAACGTTCCAAATGTTGGATATTTTTATGTGGAGAATGGCAATCTCTGATTCGGCTGATGACGTCACGATTTGGCTGGTGGATGATCGCTCCGGTTTCGGTAGTAGTGTTGAGCGATGATAACGTTGATTGTGTGGTGAAGATGCAACCGTTGTTTTGGTTTTCTCGCGGATGGTGTTTTGAAGCAGTTATAAGTTGGAATTCACTCGAAAATAATTGGTGTTAGATTGTCCAGAAATCCAAGCAACGGCTGGACATATATCTTGTGTATATTTACCTGGATGAACCAGGGCGGATTGCCGTTGATTTGATGAATACTTCGATGCTCTTTCTTGCAGATTCTAGTGGTGAGGATCCTTATCCTACGTGGTTACCGATTGTTGTTGATCGATGGTAGATGAGTGTAGTGCTCGTTCGAAGAAATTAGTGTTAGCCAATATTTTTAACCTATCTCCGGCTGGACATATTACTAATGTGTACCCACCTGTGGGACCAATTAATTAGTCCGTATCCAGCCTCGTTCCTTATTTTCGATGCGCAGAATGGTTGACTGATAGAGGCTTTGTGATCCTTTCACGATGGCGATTGATCTCGAAGAGTGATGATCGAGATGGCGTATTGTGTCGTTGGTGCTATATAGTGATTCCAATGGCGGATGTCCTCGTTGATTGTAGAGGAAGTTGGTGATTTAGGATGACCTTTCCTCGATCATCCGGTTCGAAGGACCAAAATGTTTTACCTCGGAACTGGTTCTTCCTTCCAGGATTGGTTTCTTAGTTGAAATTAGATTGGACGCAGACATTTCTTCCTTATGCGGTGAGTAATGGGATCCAGTTCAGCACACAACACAATTACAGTTTATTTTTGTTCCATTAATAGTCTGTACATTTAAACACTTTATTTAAAATCACTACACTAAACATCGAACATTTATTACAACTAACTACATCTATTACAAAATTAAAAAACTGGTCTGGTGACCGTCTGCTCATCGAGCTGGCCCTTTTGTATCTAATAATTAAAATGAAACCTAATTCTATTCCTTCTCGGTTCTTGACCTATCACAAAAGTGCATATGCAATTAATTTTACATGGTCTTCTCTTAGTCTGTTGTAGTGGGGAAATCGTGTTTACACTTCAATCCTCCAGACGGTGACAGTACAACACGTTCCACAGTCCCATGCAGCATTCGGTTGTGGAATTTGATGTTGAACGCACGGTTGTGATTAATTTTTTGTATTGCTCCTCAACAGTATCCATCAACACGATCATTTCTATAAATGAAATAACTTCCGTCTCTTTTAACCTTATGGCCAGGTTTAAGGAAGGTTTCAGTTATAACGGCAATATATACGTTATGAACTCTCAAAAAGTTAAATAGTTCGTCTTCATTATCCTTAAGAGGTCGAGCATTCCAATTTAAAATATTTAATGATTTAAAATCCATTGCTGAATTTTAAAGTCATGACAATATTGTTCGCAAATTTTACTCCAGTTTCAATAGCATCAAACATGGAGCTAGATTTAAGCATATCAGTAATCATGTCAATTAATGATTTCTGTAAAAATTCCATTTTAGGAGCAGTAATGCTTCCTAAGACAAAATTTTCAAAAATTCCGTTAGAATTACGTTGGCTAGTATTTTGATTTCTACCCGGTGCAATAGCAGCATAGGTAGCTCCATTTACTCGCTGAACAGAGTTAGCAGCGAGGGGAGCAGGTATAGATGAAGAATTTGAAGCAGGAGTGATATTTGTAACTACAGTTTAACGGTAACGGAGCTGGAGTATCTGAATGATTTGGAACTACATCGGGTGGGATCACCGTGTTCGTTGTTATCCTTCTTTGCAAGCCGCCTCAAATAAAATTAAGCATGCTAACGGGTTTTGCCAATTTCAATCAGCCTTCATCGCATCTTCTCTCATTCCATGTATCTGGAAGTCAAAAAGTAAACAACATATCAATCTGTAATATCATTTAGATCGATCATCATCTAACAGCGTGCAAAAATAATCATTAAACTTTAATCCTCTGTTTGAATCTTAAAATCAATAACCAAAATGCCATTACTAACTAGGCTATCTGAGGTTACAATTAGTTGAATGTTATTGGAAATCAATATGTTCAATTAGCACGTTAGATACTATTTAAAGTTTTTAAATCGGTAAGTTTCTTTTTATATTGAAAGATTTTAAGCGAGTTTATATGTCGCATGCTGTGTTTGCATTTGGATTACTTTAATGTGATCTTGGTTTTTAGCCTCATGAATTAGATTCTTTTTTATTCTTCGTGAAATTACCATAACGTTTGATTATTTTTTTTCTCTTATAGTAAAACAATTCTTAGGATTCATTTTTGATCGTCTATATGATATTTTAACCATGTATGTAACAAATATAAATAAAAACCTCGTTCAAATTCACATGTCATTAAGCTGGGAATGAGCTTTTTTTTAAAGATATATCAAAATTTGCAGCATGTGGTGTGCGTTTTCTCCATATTGATGTAATAAAAAAAATAAAACAATCATTTATAATTATATCAAATAAACTGTCTGTTTCTTTTATTTGTTTTATCAATGAGCAGGTTAAACATTGTTTCAATGCATGTAATTACAGTTAGAAATAAAATATTGTTCTATATTATGATTACGCAAAATCTAAGACAAAAATCTTTTTAAACTTTTGCTGGAATCAGGAACAAAATAATGGCGCATTGCATTTTGAGAGGCAAAATTGTTAATTCCACCAAAAAATTGAAAGCGCACCTTAAATTTTAGCTCTATTACCCTAACTGATAATTTATTACTTTGACTATAATTAATTCTGTTTTCTCCGAATAATTGAATCTTGCA